GACAGCACACAATCCACTTGTTTTAAAATAATATTTTCAAAAGTCAAACGTATGTACAAAAATTTGTTACACTGTTGTTTACCACAGTTAAATCTAGAGCTTTAAATAATTCTCTTTCTTGTTAAAAGTTCATGCAGCCTGGTTTAGTTACTTTAGAACCCATATGACAAGACGAATTATTATTCTCTATCTCTGTTGTTACAATACAGTCTGTGAAACTCACTTCAAAATCACCACTATAGCTGTTGGTTATTGCAGTTGCATCCAGAGTTTTAAATAATTGTCTCCTTTTTGTCAAAGTCCACACAGGCGGATTCAGTTACTTTAAAACACCCTTTGACAAGATGAATTATTCTTCTCTACTCTGTTATTACAATACAATCTGCGGTTATAACACTTTAAAAGTCGCCACTATACACTCTTTATAGCTAAACTTACAAACACTATCTAGATCTAGATCTCTCACTAACTTTATCTTACTTTCACTAACTTACTTATTTGCACTAACGTGGTCGCCTATATATATATATTGTACCCAACTGAGGCCTAGTACTTTCTACCAACTACGAGACGAGACGCTATGATGTAACAATACTCACTTAAAACAACGAGAAGAATACAAAAGGTTCGACTAACGTGACGTCAATTCACAACAAATGATTCGTAAACAATAAGCTAACTCGCCATAACTATCACTTCAAAAATAACTTACTTTAAACAATATAAACTAAATAATACTCTTCTTAAAATGAACAACATTGTCTATATCAACAATATAACAACAATATCTAACATTGTTGTCGTGGTTTTCAGCACAACAGACCTATTTCATACACTTCGGCAAAGATATTCGCGCCAGACATGACATTTGTTTCGGGGATGGCGGAACAACGTACGTGTGCGTCATTCGCCCGCAGTAGCAAGGGGGGGGGAGGATATTTAACTGGCTGTCAAGCTCGGAGAAATGAGAAAATGGATAACGTAAGGGGATTTAGAATCCTTCTGAAGCATACCCAAGGACCCTTAAAAGTTTTATAGTGATCCGATGTCGGAAAATGTTCATTACGGACCGACAAACAGACAGTTTGTACATAGATATGAATACTCCAAGGAAGTAACACTTTTACTGTTTCTTAATTCTAGTAACCAAAGCTTTTCAGAATGGTGTAAGGGGGTTCCTGCATTTCAACTTTTAAGGGGGAGACTGTGAAATATAATTTATTTGTTTTTATTGAATTTCGTGCAAAACTTCACGAGGGCTATCTGCGCTATACATCCCTAATTTTGAAGTGATACACTAGATGGAAGGCAACTAGTCAACACCACCCACCGACAACCCTTGTATTACCCTTGCCAGACCGAATAGTGGAATCTGATCGTAACTTTTATAAGGACCCCGAAATTCGGAGCGTGATTTTTATATATTTTTTTTCCTTTGACGATAACGAGACGTGAACCATGGAGTCTTAGTTTGCATGGTAACCACTGATCCAGGTTTTCGAGTATTTAATAAATATAGATAATCAATATATAATTTTGAATCGAGGCTGACACGAGCTGTTCCACGAGATGTCTTAATGACGTCATGATGTATTACCAATAGCATACGGGCTACGAGTTCAAATCATGAAATTCAAATAAGCTTCCGCCGGTACTTTTCTGAGTCAAAGTAAACACTTTGAACTGTTACTTCGCTAATGCTCTGGGAATGGAGCCCTGGGTTACTATTAATGACATTTTGTGTTATATAATGTTCTGCAGGATAAATTAACTTGTAGATGAGTCGTACATTAAGGGTTGAAAACTGGAAAACAGTGTATCACAAACTAGTGAAGAGGTTTAGAAAACAGAAGGGAATTTTTTTATCAGCCCATCTCAGCTTTAGCTGCCCACTCCTGCTCACAAAAAGACACGAATATTTCTCAAAAAAATATTCATAGGTAAAAAAAAACTAAATAATATGCATAAACATATGTAAGTCCAAGCGTACAATATATATATAAATCCAAAAAAATAAGTCAATCAATAATTCAAATACTGTAAGATAAAACAAGTGTTTGTTTGTTTTTTATTGGGGCGATTTAAAAGGGTTGGAGGGTGAGAGTTTTTACAAATGTAAAAATTTAGGGTGGTTTGTTTCTACTTTAAGGTTATATCTAAATATTAAGGCTTATTACTGCCTTCCCACAACTGGCTGCAGACAGCGAAAGACAGTAGGAGTTGAGACGTTGTAGGTTTAGACACTCAACTCCTAACCCTTAACCGATTCTCCTTAGTTGCTGGATAGTTTGGATCTCGTCTGATAAATGTAATATCCTCAACGCGTTTCGAAGCTATGACCACAAATGTTTTCTGCTAAGACTTAATGATGATGACAAGGATTGGTAATGAAGATTTTTTTTTTGGCCT